TAATAGCAAATTACTTATAATATATATTATAAGTAATAGCAAATTACTAAAAATTACTTAAAAAACTGATGCTTACATTTGAAAATATGTAATAATCATAGTATTAGTCAAAGTGTAGCTGTGTTAACAGCAAACAGTTAGAAACTCACTTTGAAAGCTTTTGATAATATACTGCAATATAACTTCAATTCAACAAATATAACTTTTGATAATATAATGCAAAAACTGAAAATTGAAAAAAAAATAAAATCAATAAAAATTTGTCTATTTTTTTTTTCAAAACTGTTTACATTTGTTGATTTGACAACTTCCAATGCATTCCATAATTTTTCTGTGTTCCCAATGTGTTTCAAACTTACTTTATTCTTTATTGTATTTCTTATCAGGACCTCTGCATTATTTGTGAATATTGGCTTTTTTAAAAACTCTATTTTTTCAATCGAATTAGAAATCTAGACTACATAACAATTTTTTTTTGTTTTAAGTATGTAATGTAATATTTTTTGTCTTATAATAGGGAATTAAAAACTTCCTTTTAATGCTCAAAGAGTCCTGATTCCTCAAAGATTCCTGATGTATATAAATTTTTTTTTTCCAGTTTTAACAAAGTATTGAACTTCATATACAAAGTCCATTTTGTTTCTAAACAGTAATGAATTATCCTTCTTACTAGACAGTTTTAATATTATAATTTGATTAGGATATACATTTTATCATAAACAACACTTTCCAAAACTCAAAGTTTCTCCCAATGCTTGCATTTTTTGTCAATTTTCTAAATATAAATAAACTATTATACTTTAAATAAATTAGTATACATATAAAGACTTCAAAGAATAATAACAATAAAATTTATTTAACAAACTTTCTTTAAATAAATTTAAATTTGCTGCTAAACTAACTACTCTATATTTACTGTCATTAAAATAAATATGTTTAGCAATCGTTTAAAATTTTAAAACTTAAAAACGGAAATTTCAAGAATTTGTTCTAACATTTCTAGTATCTCTTTGTCAAATTGTATTTTCGCAGAAAACTTAAAAACTACCAAAGTTATATCTATTATTAAACTGATTTAAAACTATTAATGCCAAACTATAGGCAAACTTCCGTTGGCCTTGGAGGAGGTGAATTACAAAAAAAAAAAAAAAAAAAGAAAAATCTCTATAAAAACTGATTCAGTAATATTTTAAAGTCATCACAAAAAATTAGACCAGCAGCTCAAAATTAAGTTAAATGGGAAAAACTTTGGTGCAAAAAATGTGTAAACTACTTGGGTATAACGCTAGACAATAGCTTAGCCTGGACTTATAACGCACTACAAATTTAAAAATTACATGATATAACCAAAATTGAAAATTGTTTACTTATTCACAGCTGCATAATTAAAAAGCTACCTTAAATATTTAATATATGGTTTTTCTTTGCGGTGCAATTAGCTGTCAACTCACAAGAAAATCTTGTAGAGATGCACTGAGTGTGTAAACATATAATACAAAATCCTACGGTAAACATTCCTTTAAATACTCTGCATTAATGGACTAGAATTAACTTAAAAATAAATCAAAAACAATCTCTTTTTACAACATTAAAAAATATGTCCTCAAAACTAAATTAAAACAATAGTTGTTACATCAAGATAAATAGAAAAAATAATCGTATCACTGGTGATGAAATATATATCACCATAGAAGATATATAAGATATATAAATAAATGTTGACTAATAGTAATCTTTTGTCTGTGTATTATTTATTTTATTTGATTTGTTAGCGATTACACGGCTTAACAAAAAACATTTGACGTTTGACGAAAAACACGTAATTTTCATAAACTTTGCTCTCATATCTTTTTGTATGGTTAAGGTAGCGCCTTGAGGTTTTTTGCATCAGTTAGTCTTACTCAATCTCTTTCCAACCATATATAGAAAGTACTAAGTTTTGTATGGCTTTATTTATATATTGTCCATATCTTAAGACCACTTTTCATAAAAAAACTTGCCGCGGGAACGTTTTTTTAAAACGAAGCTTTTAAAGGTCCATACCCTTAAAAGCTTCGTTTTAAAAAAACGAAGCTTTTAATTCCTTAGTACTTAAACACATCTATTTTTTATGAAACTTTCCATATTTATTAAGAAAAGGACGAGGAATCTAATGCAATCTGGACGCTTTTTAACTTTTATACAAAAAATTTTAGTTCTCAGCTTTTAAAAACTTCAAGGTTGATTTATATGAAAAAAAAAAGTGTTTTTGAAAAATGTCCAGGTGGAAATAGCAAGTTTAGCCTTTCTTCTATTTAAAACAAGTATTTATTTAAGTTTACCTAAAGAATTGGTACTAAGGAATTGCATATATAAATTATGTGTATATATATGCTTTTCTTCGCGTATTTTATGACGTTATTTGTTTTTATAGTTGCGTTTGTTTTGGTCAAATTATGTAAATTAAATTGAAAGTGAAAGTATAACTTTTAAAATTTTAATCAAATGAAAATAAATAATTTACTTCTTCCCAGGTATAAGCTCTGCATTGTGCAAGAAAGTTAAAAGGTTGATTTTCACTATTTTAACTACAGGTTGTCCTTATTTAAACTGTTTTTTCAAAACAAAAACCTGAAAATAGTATTGAACTAAAGCTCACGAAAATGGACTTGAGTAAGAAATTCTTTATTTCTTTTTACATTTATTTATCTATTTTTGTTTGTTGGTTAAAGTATTATGAACTCTAATAATACTTACTTTAATCCCCTTATTTTAGGTGTTGGCATTAACAATAGTCCTGAAAAAATGGTTGCTCCATCTATAACTCAAGAAAGTAAGTCAAAATTTTAAATTAGGAAAACTAGTCATTTCTTACAAATTTGTAAAGAAAAAGATAAATTTAACTTAATATGGCTGCAGCTTACATTATTTTTTACATCCTTATTTCAGTTTCCTATATCTAGAATTATGCTTATCAAGTGCCTAAAAAAGTCAAAAGATTTCATTGCAAAATTAAATCGTGCCAAAAATTTTGATTTAACAAAGTATTTTTTAAGCTCTGTTTTCTCTTTGAATGTTGTATTTAATGATGTTGTTGGTTTGTTACCTTCTGATGATAGGTCTACCCCTACTTCTATCCACTCTAATGAAATTGTTCCAAATCAAGTTACTGATTTTGTATTTTCTGATGTAAGCATGCAAATTGCTAATGATAATTATTTGTGCTCTGTTACTCCAAATTCTATTGTACGTATCCTTTTAGGTAATGGTTCTGATAATTTTCTCCTTGAAACACAAGTCAATAAAGAGAATCTTCCAGTTTCCAATTCGAATAAAAAACTTCATATATTATCTGGTGATTTGACCTATCAAATAAAAAAATATAAACGGAGATCATCTTACATTGCAAAATAAAAAAATTAATAGAAGATGTTATGAATATAAAAGAAAATATCAAGCAATCCTGTCAAAATATAATGTTCGAAATGTCAACAAAAGAGGCGTTAGAAAAGATTGTAAGATTAACCAATTATTGCAAATAAATTTAAGATTAAAAAAAGAAATTGATTTGGCTAGAAAGCATTCCCAATCAGATCGACAAAAGGCCTGGTATTTAAAGAAAAAAATTGAAAACACTATTTTGAAAACATCTGATGAAACAAATGATTCATTCTTAAAGAAGAGTTTGAATTACTTTGAAAATCTTACAGAAGAGCTGAAGAAAAGAGTTGACATTTTTGAAAAAAATGTAATTGACGTTTATGAAGGAGGTAGAAATAATGATGAAATTTGCTCGGTATATTAGGACCTTTTAAGTAAAAATGTTTCTGTTAATAATGTTGAACCTGTTATCAGAACTGTACTACAAAAAATGGCTGGAATTTCATGTGGCACACTTCCAAAAAAATCTTTGGCTTCTGAATTTTTTAGTGAAATGAACCTTTTAGCAAAAGCTCAGGTGAGAGAGGCTATGTTGAATAGTACAAACAATGTTCTTCATACAGATGGTACAAAATATAATTTTAGAGAGGTTGATAGTTTTCAAGTCACAACATCATCTGGTAGCTACACGTTTGGGATAGAAGATATGTTTTCGGGAGAGGCACAATCTTCTTTTGGAGAGCTAAAAAACTTACTCACTGATATGTCTAAGATATTTTCTCCTGACAAGGAAAACTACGAGAATGATCTTAGGAAACTTATTTTTTCTTTTAAATCTTTGATGACAGATCGCACCATTGTTAATTCAAGTTTTTTTCACCAATTTAAACATTGAGAGAAGCAATTTTGCCTTTTGTTGTTGAAAACTATGATCAGCTTCTTTCGCTGATCATAGTTTACAACAACATGATTTCCATGATTTTTTCATCATAACACAGTTAAATAAGTAGAAACCCTTCAGTCTGTAAAATAAACAATTCTGGAAAATTCTGACAGATTTAATAAAAACTAGATCACTATTTAAAATTTCAAGTCGAATGTAATAACGCTTCAAAAATATCAAAAATTTTAAAAAAATTACAAATTATTTAAAGTTTTTATGTTTAATTTGTTTGAACAACCCATTTTCAGCAATTTACTGACCGAAAAGTAAATTATATAATTATTTCACTGACCGGTCTGTAAATTACGCAATCTTTTTCAAATGTTTTATTTTTTAGATTCCATGATTCTTTTATGCATATTCACATGGTATAATTATAATATCACCCCAAATTTTATTCTCCAAAACTAAGAAAATAATATAAAACCCTTCAGCTGTAAAATAGATGATTCTGGACAATCGCAACAAATTTTTTAAAATAAAATTTTGGTTTTTTATTTTCTTATAGTTTTTTGATCACTATGAAAAATTTCAAGTCAAAAGTAATAACCATTCAAAAGTTATTCAAAAGTCAGTATGACCCCAAAAATATAGAAATTAGTAAAAACTCTCAGTCTGTAAAATGGTAGATCCTGACAGATTTAAAAAAGAAAATTTTGGTTTTTTATTTTCTTATAGTTGTTGGATTACTATAGAAAATTTCAATTCAAATGTAATAACGATTCAAAAAATATTAAAAAGTCAGTATGACCCTGAAAATGTATAAATTAGTAAAAATTCTGGTCTGTAAAATAGATAATTTCTGGTCAATCCTGACAGATTTCAAAAAAAAATAATTTGGAATTTTATTTTCTTATAGTTAATTGGTCACAAATGTAATAATACTCTCATTTTCGGTGCCATTTCGCAGTAAATTTTCCATACTTAAGCCCTATACCTTTTGTCAAAAAATCACCCGTTTTTTCACTGCAAAAAGGTCAATAACTTTTGATCCGCTTATCTTCAAAGGTTCAAAGACCCCTCATTTTTTAAGTCAAACCAAGCTCTATACAATGACAGCAATTATATTTGAATATTTTAATTATAAAAAAATCGTCTGGAATGGCTAGATTTGTTTATGTTTTGTTTATGATCGCTCTCCTCAATTTAGACAAGCTATATAAAAGTGAACCATCCAGAATGTAGACTGCAAATATATTTTTTGTAATTTATAACATGCTTATGTAAAAAATCTATACTCCTGGTAAATATATTGCTTTTTGTTGTTGTTTCAGCTTATTTAGAATTCGGAGTTTTAGAAACTCCCTATTTACGTTAGATTTTTTTATAGTTAGCAAAACTACGTTAATATTTCTTTATTTTTTTACGTTGTCCGTATGTTAGCTCAAAGTTAGAATGTAAGGTTAATACTTTTATGTTTTTTTAACATTGTGTCAACGTTAGCTTAACGTAAGAATATTACGTTAAAAAGATAACGTTGACTCAGTGCCGGCCTTGGGGGGGGGGGGGGCGAGGTTGGGCGCCGCCCAAGGGCGCCAGGAAACAGGGGCGCCAAACGTTGTATGCAAACTTTATCAATATAATAAATAGAAAAAATAAGTCAACCTAAATTTTTTTCAATTTCGATTTTCAATTTTTTGTTATTTTTTCGAATGTTTTTTTTTTTTTATAAAAATAATTTCTTTAAATAATTTCTTTATTGCATCATTACACTGTTAAAAATTCTTCAAAGATTATTCACATCATTTTCTGCATCAACTTCACGCTGGAATGTTTTACTTAGTCATACAACAAACTTCACTCTTAAACGATTATGTGACACTCGTTAGGAAGCCAAAATTGAGAGCCTCAAAGCCATCCGATACCAAATAAGCAGCGTACATATTTAAGAAATACCATGTTGCAAGATCGACTTAATTCTCTATTTATGTTATCAATCGAGCAAGATATAGCTGAAAATTTAGATTTTTCTAGTTTGATAAGAGATTTTGCGGACAAAAAAGCTAGAAAAGTTAGATTTTAAAATTTAATAACTCTTGTTTATATAGTTAGAGGATTTATTATATGTTTAATAAAAACATTTGTTATTTTAAAAGCAGCGTTGCGTTGTCTATTTATTTAGTCACTCATTTCTATAAACCCATATCATGAAAAGTCTAAATTTATAATTTTAACAAGAAATTAATTAAATAAGAAACTTGATGCACAATGTGGATCTCTTTGCATTAAACTATATATTCCCTTTAGCACTCTTGTTCATCATTTTAGAGCATTGGTCTCGTTGTTAATGGTATCAACCCACCCATATATACCTAGGGGCGCGTTCACAAGTTTTGCCCAACCTGTCAAAAAAGCTAAGGCCGGCGCTGCGTTGACTCAACGTTGAAAAAACGTAAAGTAACGTAAAACGTAATTTTAACATAAATACACCATTAGTACAACGTTGTGTGCCTGCTGGGTAGTTCATATCTCTAATATACTTTAACTGCTATGGGTAATACTCCTAAGCAATAATCCAACGAACAGAATTCATAAATTATTTGTAAACTAATTTTAGTTTAACAACCCAACAAAAATTACTAATTATCCGAACAAACTTCAAAAAATAAAAAATTACAAAAATTATAAATTGATAAAAATAGCATGTATTTTTTGTAAGATTTTATGTAAAACTTTCGAACAACTTGTATATGAAATGTTCAATGAAGAGTAATGATGAACTGGTGATACTGCAAAATGTTCAATACCCACCACAATCACCTCCACCAGCATTGCAGCAATCTCTGCTTCGACATCCTGCTTTACAAATGCTTGCCTGAGAAGCGCTGCATCCAACATCATACCCGGTACAAGTCCATGCACCTTTGTAAACGCATTTACAGGTTTCGCCATCTTTTGATGCTCCTTTGCTTATGGTACAACCTCCTGAATGATAATCACAATCGCAACTGTGGCAAACACTGAATAAAAATGCGAACCCAATGCACAGTAACAGCAAATCTAAAATACAAGTTTAGCTTTAAAATTAAAGAAAAAAAGAATAAAAATTATTTACTTTGATTTTTCAAAATCTGAAATATCTTACATTTTGATTCCATTATAGTTGTTTGAAAGTTATAATTTTTGAATTGGTTGCTCAAAGATATACGAATTAACATCTAATAAACGATATGTGCATTATTTATACTGCTTAGCTGACCAAATAAATAAGTTAGTTCTTATATAAAAAAGCCACACATGACGTTCTTTTCAAAATCAATGTTATCAATTATTATCAAACTACGTAACAAATGGTGTTCGGGTAGCTGTTTCTTTGTTTCTTATAATATTTGAGGTTGTTGATGTCAGTGATTAATTAATGTATGACATAAGTATTTTATAAAATAAATAATTTTTTCTCTTATAAACAATCCTAATTTTTTCTCAGTTTTATATTAATAAGATTTAAATTTTAGCCATTTTCATTTTTTTTTATTATTATATAAAATTAAATTATCATTACCCAGTGGACACGGGACATAAAAAGACGTCTTTTGAACGTCTTTTAAACGTATCGAACGTTTTTTGAACGTTTTGGACGTCTTTTGAACGTTTAAAAGACGTCTTTTTTTAGTCCGGTGCCCTCTGTTTATAGCAGTGTTTAGCAGCTAACCCAGTGGACACGGACGTAAAAAAGACGTCTTTTAAACGTATTATACACTTTTTGGACGTCTTTTGATTGTCTTTTGAACGTTTTGGACGTCTTTTGAACGTTCCAAAGACGTCTTTTTTTGGTCCGGTGCCCACTGGAAAACTTCTAAACACTTACTATCCGTTCTGTTTCAAACAATATTGGAGGGTAAATTGGGGTCAAGGGATATTGCACTCCCCCCTTCCAGCAAAGAAGGCAATTTTTTAGGAATATAGTTGGTTAGTTTGGTATTAGACACATTTCAGTTGTGTGATTTTTAGTTTTGAGGACATTTAAAAAAAAACAGTCGGCACTAGAGTCACCCCTGGTTTTATTATGGGCCATTTTTTTTGTTCTATCACGGATGCAGTAATGAAACTAAAAAATTGTTTAACCAACGGGTTCAATAGTAATTTCTATACATATTTTAAGTGTTATTTTATTTACTGACAAATCAAACTTTTTTTTTCTCAAACAATAATATAAAAGATCCCTTCAGAATGTTTAATAAAGAGTTATAAATCATAGAGTAACGAGTTTAGGATTTTTCACAAGACACCCTCATCTTGTGATGGGGAGGGGTAGTGTGCCATGATTAGAAGTGTGAATAAAAACTCCTAATGTAAAGTTATCATTGTTGAACCCATTGAATAGTTTATTGGTTGGTAATGGACTACTGCATGATTTATTGAATGATTGTTTTTAAACCTAAATTTTTTATTATACAGTATATTTTTCTAAGTTAAATGATTATATCTAAAACTATGATTATATCTATGATCATAAATAAAAACGTCATACGTACTATCATACATAAAAAGAGAGATATAGTAAAAGAAATATTGCATTGGAAATTAAATAAGTTTGGAGATAATATTTTTTAAAAACACCTGTGCAAAGAATTTCTTTCGTTTGTTTTTGGTGTTCCTTGGTGATTTTAGGTATGCTTGTTTTCAATATGGTACCTGTTTGTTATAAAATATACGGGTAAAATAAAAAAAAAAAGCAGAATGAAATAACTAAAGTCCTGATCCTTCTAATATGATTTTAAATTTAAATTGGTTATTGATAAAAAAAAAATTTATATATAAAATATTCATTAGTAATTATTTAATTAAATAACTGACATCAGCAACCTCAAATATTATAAGAAACAAAGAAACATTTACCCAAACAAAATTTGCAACGTAGTGTGATAATAATTGGTAACATTAATTGATTTTGAAAAGTACGTCATATGTGGCTTTTTTATATGAAAACAAATTTACAATTGTTGGTATTGGTTAGCTAAACAGTATATATATAATGCATATAATGTAGTGTTAATACTTATCTCTGAGAAATCAATTTAAACATTAAAACTTTCAATTCAACTATATAATGGAATCAAAATGTAAGATATTTTAGATTTTGAAAAATCATTGTAAATATTTTTTAATTTTTTTTTTTAATATTAAAGCTAAACTTGTATTTTAGATTTGCTGTTACTGTGCATTGGGTTCGCATTTTTATTCAGTGCTTGCCACAGTTGCGATTGCGAATATCATTCAGGAGGTTGTACGATAAGCAAAGGAGCATCAAAAGATGGGGAAACTTGTAAATGCGTTTACAAAGGTGCATGGACTTGCTCCGGTTTTACAGTCGGATGCAACGCTCCTCAAGTAAGCATTTGTAAAAAAGGATGTTTGAGCAAAGAATGCTGCATTGTTGGAGGAGGTGATTGTGGCGGATATTAAACATTTTGCAATCTTCTAACTTAGTATAACTCTTCACTGAACATTTTATTTATAAATTGTTTGAAAGTTTTACATAAAGTCATAAAAATTACTTGTTGTTTTTTTTTACTTTTTTTGCAATTTCGTTTATTTGAAAAACAGTTTTTTTTATAAACATTTAGTAACATTTGGCTGTTTGGTTGTTGTTTCGGAGTATTTCATATAACAGTTATTGCTTATTCAAGTCATTATTTTGTTTTAAAAGTAGTTTACGACTAATCAGTGATTTCTGGTAATAAGATTATTGTTCAGGAGTATTATTCATTATTAGCAGTAAAAGTTTATTATGGTAGTATTGATTTGTGTATAATTAGCAAGATAGTCAGGTGCTTGAACCAAACTTCTTAAAAGTTTTTAATTAATTGATAATTTATTTTAACAATCTTAACGCATAAAGCATTTGTCGGTAACGTTTATGTTTATGATTTAAAGTAACGTATTTGGCTCATGTATAAATTTTATTTAAACAAGTAACGTGTTTTTAGTTATTAAATAATTTTTTGCAGCAAAATAACTTTATTTAATTTAAAAAGTAGTAACTTAAGTATAAGCTTAAAAAAATAAAAGTGAAAATATAACGGAGAGTAAAATTGATTTTAACTTTATAAATTTAAACTTTATATATTTTTAACTTTATAAATTTTTAGAATCCAAAATCTATTTCCAAAAATGTTTTTGTTTTAAGATAAAAACAAAGCAAGTGTTGCATAAAGTAACAATTTTAATAAGCGCTACAAAATCTACAGGTCTAAATAAAAGATTCTTTGTCCGTTTTCTTTAGACGTGAAAAGACGAGATTCATTTTGTTTCGTTTTCGTGCATCTCAGCAGCCATTACAATTTTAAGCAACGTCTGTTTTAATAAAAGTTCAAATGAAGTTGATAAATCAAAATTATTCAAAACAATTTTGTTCCAGAGATAAGGTGAACAATATCCAATACAAAATTGATTAAACTATGTACAACAAAGTGGTTCATTTAAAAATTATAATTTCGCAAAATATATTTGTTTATTTTTTTGATAAAAAAATCTTTAAAAATAGATAGTGCTGAGTCATCTTTACATTGAAACTTTACATTAAATAAAAAGCACAAAACTTTATAAATGTTGAGTTGATATACATTAAAGACATTCGCATCTTTAAATAAAGAATTTGAATGCGTTAAACGATTTTTAAAATACATTAAACGCAGAGGGTGTTTCTGACGACGATAAAGATGTTGCAATTTACTTTTGCTTGTACTTCCCCAAGCAATATTAGCATAGTTAATATAACTATGTATAAAGGAGTAGTAGAGTTGCATTAAACTGATCTTAAATTGGATGCCAATACTTTAAGCAACTTTATTGCTAATGTTGTAAATATGAGTTTTCCATGTAACATTTTCATCAAGAATTATTAAAACCTAAAAACTTTGCAGCGGTTTCTCTTTTTATTTCAATTTTATCAATAAATAGTTTTGACATAAGGTTTGGCTTTAAATACTTTGTAAAAATATGTGCAAAAGGACAGTATAACCCAAATTCTTCAAGGACAGTTTCACGTAGCAAAATACCGAACTTATACAATGCAATGAAGGCAGAAGTCAATAAAATATTTAATGAAGACAAACCTCATCTGGATAAAATAGCTTACATTTCTATGGCTACGCACTACATTGATTTGGATTTTCGAATGAAGCGTTTTTTGGTTACTTTACAACATTTTGCTGGTAAGCATTCATCGGAAGAAATCGCAAAAAAACCTTAAAGATGTTACCAGATACTCCGTAAGAAGAAAGCTTATGGAGAAGACTAGCATGTCAAACTTTATCAAACGCTTAAGAAATGTCAAGAGCAATAGCCTTAACCTCTCCACCTTTATCTAATGTACAATAAAACCTATTGGTTATTACTATTAGCAAATCAGCTGTGGAACGAAAAGATCAAAATCCATATATCAAAAAGTAAGTTATTAGATTCAAGATGAGAGATAAGGTGTTTGTTAATTAAAGATTCAATAACCTTGCTCATAGTAGGAAGAATAATGGGACGGTAAATGGACGATTCAGATTGCTCTCCAGAATTTATGAAAATAGAGACAATAGATGCCGCTTTCCAGCATGCCGGATAACAAGTCTCCAATGAGCACTTTTTGAATAGTTTTGAAAGAATAGACGACAACTCCGGAAAACACTTCTGCAACACTTTAGCAGGTATGTTGTCTGGACCACAAGCTGTAGAAGAGTCTAAGCATGAAATCACTTTAGATACAGAAGCTGGGGTGTTACGAATGTCAATCAATGGATAAACTTTTTTGTCGGGTATATCAGGTAAAACGCAGCTGGTGGAAGCAAGAGATGATATTAATGAAAAGTTCTTAGTAAAAAATTCAGCTTTGTCTTTAGGTGAGATGACAAAGTCTAAACCATACAAAAGAGGTTGAATAACATATTTTCCCTTATTATAGATACTGTTAAAGATTCTGAAAAAGTCAAGGGAATCTAATTTTTGTGATGAAATACAAAATTTCATGACCTGTGAATAGCGGGTTATGGCATTAGACAAAACTTTTTTGCAATGGTTTCTAGCAATTGTAAACAGATGCCTGTTTTCTGGAGAATTATTTTTCTGATAGATATAGAAGTCAATGGTTTTGATTGGAAATTGCAACAGCTTAATGTGAGGAAAACCATGGAGAAGAGTAAGGCTTGACTTGGAATAGTCTAGTAGGAATAAAAGATTTTATGCTAGCCTGAATCTAAAAAAATAT